CTACATGCAATATAATTGCTACATAAGTGTTGTATACTCCATAATAAGATGTATACGCCTCCTTTGGTGCTGGGGATGTGGTTCAGTGCTGGAGAGCTTAGCTAGCATGCACACAGCCCTGAGTTCCACTGTACTGTTTAGCAAATGGCTAGGAACAAAGTCATATATATTCAACAGAAATATTTCTTCCAAATACTTTTAATCCTGTGGTTGGTTGAAAGCCCAGATGAAGAACCCCCAGACACAGAGCACAAGTGCACTAAGATTCGGATTTCTGTGGAACACACTGCCTCTGAATATGCCACTTCGGCATGCTGACAATTTTGAGCTGAAGGCAATTAAGCCTGCTTTAGCAAACGCAGAACGCTCCCCGCTCTTCCTCTAGCTGACGAAGAGCAAGACACAAATTTCCCTTTGTGCAAACTTTGCCCTCCTGTTTCCACACCCAGTGAACGTCATTATTAATGGTGGCATGGAGATAGGTCCATGCAGACAGCCCTCTCTAAAGCAATCCTCGCCTTTCGTTTACATCACCCATAGGTCACCTTTCTCACAATACTCCACTTCTGCAAGCCATGCCCCTCGGTCCTGTCCCCTCTATGTGAATTTATCACCCTTGGTCAAAATGATACGTAAATCCTTGGGCCTAACCTGCTTCTTGGGATTTCCACTTCTTTTCAGTGGCAGTGCATACAGTGCATACTCATACACACTTCCTCCTGGTAATCTTGTTCCAGTGTGATTAGGAGGCCCAAGTCACTGACTCAGAGAGGAAAAGTGTCCCCTCCCTAGAGTTGTATTATACACCAGAACCCTAGTAAGTATCTACTGATGGCCCAGAGGGCACAGGTAGATTTAGTGCCCAGGGTCAGCCCACCTCCGAGATGAAGTTCCTCACTCATCACGATATGCTGCCTCCACCAGCAGATGTAAGTATAAAGTCTGATGGCACAACCTCTCTAAGCCACAACCGTTTTTTGTTTTTTTTTTTTAAGATTTAAAAAAAATTTTTTTTTTTTTTTGTCTTTTTGAGACAGGATCTCCCTGTAGCCCCAGCTGTCCTGGAACTCACTATGTAGACCAGGCTGGCCTCGAACTCACAGAGATCCACCTGCCTCTGCCTCCCGAGTGCTGGGATTAAAGGCATGCACCACCATGCCCGGCTTTAAAATTCTTTTTTAAGATTTATTTTATGGTTGTGTGTGTGTGTGTATGTGTGTGTGTGTGTGTGTGTAGACATCTGTATGCAAGTGCCTACAAACGCCAGATCCAAGCATTGGATTTCCTAGAGCTGGAGTTCCAGGTGGTTTTGAGCTACCTAACTTGGGTGTTGGGAACCAAACTTAGGTTCTCTGCAAGAGCAGCAAGTGCTCTTAAGCACCAAGCCATCTCTCTAGCGCCCATGATTTCTTCAGACCTTGAACACATGTATACACTTCCCTTAGTGCTAGGGATGTGGCTCAGTGGTAGTGCACTTGCCTAGCAGGTGAAAGGCCTTGGGTTCTATCCCCAGCTCTACAAAAAGCAAGCAAACAAGAAAATCCCCCATCCAAAGCTATGGTGAGGTTTGAGTTGGTGCCTCTTAAGTTTTTCTGTGCATACACATCGCCTGGGGTGCTGTCCAAGTTTTATCAGGCTTTGGCCCCATGCCAGCCATGGTCCCCATGGACTGGATGCAATCAAAACTTCCGGATACCACTCAACTATAACCTTAAAGTAGCTAAGATGCTCCGTCTTACTTTATCATAATAAACAGATATGAGAAGCAAGCTCTAGGCACCACGCCAGGCCTTCAGCAGGTCTCTGAACACACTGGTGGTTTCCTGGTCATAAGGGAAGTAGATAGAGCAGAGTGCCTCAGCTGATATCCCAGGAGGCCCTAGGCAGACCTCACAAGCCCTGTGGACTGAGAGCCTCCCACTACAGCATCCCAGCAGAAATAGCCACGTTGGGGGTCACACATACCCAGTCCTGCCTAAGCCACCAAGATCCCCAGGGCAGTTTGCCCTTGGAGGCTCAAAGACTAACCAAGCCATCATCAAACACTGCCCTCAAGTGGGGTATAACCAAGAGAAGCAATAGGGTTCTGCAGAAGGGCAAAACCTGGGTTCAGACTCCTGCTCTGCCATTTACATTAGGCGTGGTACTTTGTTCCCTAAGACTCAGTTTCTCTGTCAAATGGGGAAAATAGAAGAGGCGTGAAAGGCTTGGCACAGTGGGGAACGGGGTACACCTATGTCCTGTCCTTGCCCTTCGTGTATGTTCACAGGAAGAAAGGAAAAGATAGAAAGGAAAGGAAACAAGCCATCAGAGCTAAAGGAATGTTCTAGACCAGGAGCAGGCAAACTTCATCTGCAGAAAGCCAAACAGTAAATACTTTGGGCTTTGTGGGAGATAAAGCCTCAGTAGCCTCCTTAACTCCTCCCTTAAAGCTCACAGCATGGGGGGGCAGTTTTGACAAGACTGTTCCAATGAAACTTTGTTGACAAAAGCAAGCAGAGGGCCAGGATTTGCCTATGAGTTGCTGTCTCTAAGTCCCCGGTCTAGAGCCCAAACTGCCTGTATTGTAAATGGCACCCCACTGGGTTGTTGAAAAGAATCCCAAGGAGGCTAGGCTTTCTGAAGGGAGAGGGTGGGCCGGCCTCTTGAGCCAGACACCAATCAGAATGCATTCACCCACACACCTGCACCTACCGCCCTGCTGGTGGGAGACACAGGAGTGGGAATGCCCCAGCCCCCTCCAGACCAGCAAAGCAGATGCCAGGCCAGGCTGTGGGGAACCTAGGGCACAGGGACCAACCAGCTAGACACTCATACCCAAGAAGGAGCCAGAATGGGCTTTTACCCAGATCTCCAAAGAAGAGAAAGGCCCTCCAGGGAAGCTTCCAGAGGATCCACTTCCCCCAGTAAGTTTTCACACAGGCCAGAGAGCCCCATGGCACTAAGTCTGCCCTTAGAGCAACTAAGGCCTCAGCCACCTGCTTGGGTGTCACCGGGGACCCATGCTGAATAAACACTTCCTGAGGAGAGAGCTAACTGATACTAACACCAACAGTTGGCTTGCAAAAGCTGATCCAAAATATATAGCCAGTCACACACGGGTACCTTCCTTTGTGCCAGAGCAGGAAAGACTCCAATGGGGTGACCTGGGCACAGCCACTGCTTCTGTGACTTTTTTTTTTGTTTGTTTGTTTTTTTTGAGACAGGGTCTCCCTGTAGCCCCAGCTGTCCTGGAACTCACTATGTAGACCACGCTGGCCTGGAACACACAAATATCCACCTGCCTCTGCCTCCCAAGAGCTGGGATTAAAGGCATGAGCCACCACACCCGGCATCTGTGAACTTTATACACATGAAAACACATACATACTAAAACAGACATCTTTGCACATACATAACTATGTGTCTGAATATACAAATACACACACATAATTGTAATTGCATTCATATTGAGCACCTACATAGACACATGTGAACACATGGGCATGTAAAGATATCTCAATGCATGTGACACACACAGGTAAGTGATGTTATAAACACACACACACACACACACACACACACACACACACACGCCCCTCCTAAACCTAGAGTTGCCCACAGAGTCAGCCTTGGCACTTTGCTGGGGTTCAGGCTACACCCAGCAGAACCCCAGCACTGAAAGCTGCCTCTGCTGTAGCTCGCCCATTCACCATCAACTAACCGGAGACAAAGCGACACTGGAAAGGGCCTCCGGAAGCACCCTGGAAATCTGTGCATCCCACCCACCAGGACCCTGTCGGCCTTTCAGGCCTCTGCCTCTCCTGCCTCTGGCTGTGCCTACAAGATGGTAGGTCTTACAATTCCCTCTACACTGTGACAGGCGCCCCAGGACCCTTGCATGTGTTGTTGCTCTGCCTGGAGCCCTCTTCTTCCAGCTATCTGTTCAGGCTGCTGCCTCTCTCCTCAAGGCTTCTGCTCATGTCTGTTTTCCTGTGCTCTGTTCACACACTGCATGACACCCCACCATTCTGTCTCCATCATCCCCTCATCTTCTATCTGTATCACCTCCATCATCATCATCATCATCATCATCATCATCATCATCACCATCTCTGTTCTCTTTGCTTTCCTTGAGACAGGCTGGCTTAGAACTGGAAATCCTCTCCCCTTGGCCTCACGAGTGCTGGATTTCAGATGTGTGCCACCACGCCTGGCTCCTTGCTGTCTTCCTTTTTGGTGTTTACCACCTGCTATGGTTCCCTCAAGATCTGCATGGCTGTTTCCCACTCCAGGGCAACACCAGCCTCAAGCCCTGGTTCACAGATGAGGCCTGACACTTGCTATGTGCTGGGAGGACGGGGGGAAACAGGGAAGAAGGAAGAGCGAAGATGAAAGAACAATGAGGCAGAGGAAGGAAAGATGGGAGAGGGTGAAGGAGAGGGAGGAGAAGAAAAGCGGGAAAGGATTGAGGATGGACTAAAGGGGGAAAGATGGATGGACCAGCAGGAAGCAGACCAGACCTCAGACTGTCCTTGAAACTGACAGAAGAGGCAGAGGGCCCGGCATGTCCCACAGATGAGATACGAGAGGCCCTAAGACAATGGGGATGCGAGGTCCAGCCTTCGGCTCCTGCCACCTGCTACCCTCTGGGATGGACGCCCTAATGTGCCAAGACTTCACATTTCTAAAAAGCCTGAACAGTGGGAGCTCGGGTGAAATATGCTGATTTTTAAAGTTATTTTTCTCACATTTTCTAAATCACCAAAACTACCAGCTCACAAGATACAGCCAGCTACACCACAAAGCAGAAACTTTCTTAGGGGACACCAGCCATATGCAAGCCTGTGTTTCTCCATGTAGAACATGGGGAAAGTGACTGTGACTTGTCCCTGAGCTTTTACATGGATGGAAGGAGATTCTGTACCGAGGACACACGTCTCAGAACCAGTGCCCAATCAGCATGAGCTGGCCCTGTGTATTTCTCTCCTGCCTGTGCACAGGCACCAGGACACACTTACCGGGTCGTTGATGGTTTCTGAGAACAGTGGTGGGCGGTCTGAGAAGCAGGACAGCACGAGCTGGACCAGCACAAGGCAGAAGTACACATAGAATGTAGAATCTCTAAATGTGTCCACTCGGGCATCCTGAGTGGGAGAGAGGGCAGGGGACATAGATCAGCACATGGAAGCAGGGTGCAGGTGCTGTGGCAGCCTGGATGGAAGGTAAATCCTCACAGTCATAGGGTGGTGGGGACAGGAGATGATGTGAGTGCTGCCAGGAGGTTTCTGCAGAGAATTCACAAGCAGGGTCCTCTCCAGACAGCCCCCAGACCTAGACCTCCCAGTTCCAGAAATAAACCGTTCTTTTCTCTAAATCATCCTGACTATGGGATTCAGTTACAGCAACAGCAAAAGAATTAAGACAAGCCAGGAGAGCAGACTGCAGATACCCACCTCCCATGCCACAGGCTCCCCCCGCAAGTGTCCCTCCTCTTGAGACAGGGGAGAAGGTAGCACCATCCCCTGAGGGTGGACAGCATCTCACCCAGTGGAGTGAAGCAGACCTGCCCCTACCAGCTATGAGTCCTTGTCCACTTAACCTTTGTCTCAGTTTCCCCACCTCTGAACAGTTGGGGGTCTTCAATCAATGGTGATTTTGCCACCCAGGCAACAAGTGGCAGTGTTGGGGACACTTTCCTTGTCATTAACTTAGGGGGGGTGCTCCTGGCACCCAGGGCATGGAGGCCAGGGTGCTCCTAGACACCCCACAAGCACTGAACAGTGCCCCATCACAAAGAAGTCTCTGCTTCCACATGTCAGTCAGTGCCAGGGTGGAAACACCCCATCAGAGTGATTGTGCATAGTCCTAAGATTACTTGTGAAAAACACTCAGTCCCCCATGGGGATGGGGGGGCATTTATAAAACACAAACTCAACTAATGTTGGCTGCTGAGATCACCACAGGAGCTGTGCTGTATACCACAGGTGCTGCATAACTGCTCCATTCCTCTCCCATGCTCATGTCAATCTCTAGCTCCCAGATAGCAGGGAATAGCAGGGTACTCAAAATTCTTTGGAGTGGCAGCCAGCAGCCAGTGTAACAACTTCCAGCCAGGGTGGTGGCAGGAGACACCAGGCAAACATGGAGGGAACACATCTAAAGCCCTTGGTGAAGAGCCACCCACAAATACCACTCCTTGCTCAGCTCCAGTCTACAGATATGTGAGCCAACTGGCCTTGCCAGGCACAGTGGACAGAAGCTCAGTGTGACAGCATTTGCCCACAGAGAGGAAAGAAGGTTCTAGAACAAAGACTGCAGCTGACATGATGGGGATTTGATGGAGTAGAGATGTCCTAGAGAAGAAGCAGGGCCCATGTGGTACCCATCCTATGATTCCCATAGCATACAAACTATACAGGATGCAGCAAGCATCTCTCTCCCACATAACCTACCACTTACCTCTTTAAAGGCAGCCATGATCTTGGACCTCAAGATGGCAAGGGCACACAGTAGGGCTACAAGCCAGAAGGTGAGCATGATCCCTGAAGACTGGACCCCCTTCCTTCGCTCGAGTTGAATTAAAAAGGTGGCGAGCAGCTAGAGGAGACACAGGAAGAGATCATCAGAGAAGCAGGACCCTGGGGTCCTGAGGCCGGGTGAGTGCTACCAATGGCTCAGCAGCTTGGGAAGGGCTCACTTCAGTCCCAGCCCTATCCCAGTCACATCAGGCACCTCTGGGCTGGTCAGAGAACCTTCCAGAACCTTACGTCTGCAAAATGGAGGTAACAGACTTGCCTGGAAAGTTGTAGGAATTTTTTACGGTTTCTTTTTTTTATTTAGTGTATGCATGTACGTGCCGTGTATGCACGCATGCATGTGTGCAATACATGCCAATTGCCAGAGGAGGCTGTTGGGTACCCTGCTCTATCACTCTTCACCTTATTCCCTTGAAACAGAGTCTCTCACTGAACCTGGTGCTGGACTGGTGGCCAACTTGCCTCTGGTCCCCACAGCATTGAGGTTAAAGGTGCACATGGCCATGCTGGGTTTTTTTTTTTTTACAGCTGCTGGGGATTTGAACTCAGGTCTTCATGCTTGTATAGCAAGTAGTCTTACCCACTGAGCCATCCTCTGAGCCCCTAAGTTGTAGAATTTCAGTGACATCATAACAAGAATGTGGGGAAAGCTCAGTTTAAAGCTGAGATCTGTGGCACAAAACCACTTAGGACCCAACTTTGGGAGAGCACACAACAAAGCAAACTCCACTTACTGAGAGGCCTGAGGTGCCCCAGGTCAGCCTCGACCTCCCCACAGCTCTGGTTCCCCTTCTCTCTTCTCCATCTCTGTTCCAAGCACACAGATCCACCCTCCACTTCTCCCTCCTAACCCAGGGCTGGTGCATGTGCAGGTCTCAATTGGATGGTCTCACCCTTCAGCCTGCTCACCCTCTGGGCCTCAGTTCCACTGACCCTCCCTCAGGGAGGGTCAAAGCACCCAAGCTTCACCCTCAAGCGCTCTGCACACGGGGTCCCGGCTTATGTCTTTTGTGGGGGAAAATTATATGTTTCTGTACATAGCCCATGACATGATTCTATCCATAGCTTCTCACATGCAGTGGAGACAAAAACATGTTTGCTGATTGCCTACTAAGTGTCCAGCAGGAGAACCAGGTAATAAGCCAAGAGCCACTGCAGTAGACACCAGAACAGCAGGTCCCACAGCCAGGGTCAGAATGTGGCTCTACCACTTCCTGCCTGTGTGACCTTGGCCAGGTTCCTTCCCCTCTCTGGACTTCCACTCACTTATCTGTAGCACAAGCAGAGTGCAAACGTATGAAACTGAGTCATATGAAGGAGTGAGGAAAGCACCTGGCACCGCTATGTCTGCCCTGTCCAAGTCAGGCGAACCGTCCACACCCCACTTCCTCAATCCAACACCACTCTTCAAAAAATAGCCTGTCTAGCCCAGCTTGGTGGTCTATACCTTTAATCGGTGGATCTCTGTGAGTCTGAGGCCAACCTGATCTATATAGCATGTTCCAGGCTACCAAGGGCTGCATAGTGAGCCTCTGTCTCTAAGTAAATAAACATATAAAAAAAACAAAGCAGCCTGGCCTACCCCACGCCACTTCCTTTCAACCTCCAAGCCTTCTTCAGATAATCTGGCCCATTTCTTGAGTGTTCCTCCTACTCCAACTGCCCAGGGCTCTGCTTTCTGAGAACCTTCCAGGCTTCACAAGGAAGCCCGAGGCACATGGGTCAGTCCAGGCACATCACTCTGTGACTGCAGTTAGCATCTATATAGTGTGACACAGGGTCCCAATCCTGGCTTAGTGACCCAGGAGGAGAATGACCTGGAGCTCAGCTCTGGGCCTTCTGTGACTTCACTCCATTGCCTGTAAAGAGGGATACACCGTACCTGTCACACAGGGTTATTCTGAGAGCCAACGGAGGTTCAAGTACAACACCAAGAACCCTCCAGACACAGGAAGCCTCAACTCACGTCCTCTGTGATAACAGTGTGGTTCTGCGTGGTGGCCTGCTGATGTATAGAATCCTGGGGGGCAGCACCACTCCCTGTTCAGTTTATTATCCTGTCTCCCCCAGCCTCAAAACTCCTGAATCTATCAGGTCCCAGGCAATTACTAGAAATGACTGCAGGAGCCAGACCTCAAGTAATGCCCATGATCTGAGAGAGCATCTGTCTGAAGACTCAGCTCAATGACAGGGAGCTACAGGGTTGGGTGGGGACTGTGGCTCCAGATGACGGCTCCCCTAAACCATGCTGAGTCTTTTCTTACTTGCTTTTGGATTTTTTGTTGTTTTTTGTTGTTATTGTTTATTGGGTTTTTCTGTTGTTCTGTTTTGTTTTGAGACAGGGTCTCACTATGTAGCCTTTTTTTATTATTAAAATACTTTATTATTTTTATTTTATGCGTATGAGTGCATTGCCTGCATGTAAGTGAGTTCACCCGTGTTGTGCAATGCTGCGGAGGTCAGAAGAGGGCTTCGGATTCCCCTGGAACTGGAGTTAAGGATGGTTTGTAGCCACCATGTTGGTGCTGGGAATCGAACCTGGGTCCTTTGCAAGAGAAGTCAATGCTCTTAACTGCTGAGCCATCTCTCCAGGCCCCCTCACTATGTAGTCTTGACTGGCCTGGAACTCAGGCTGGCCTCAAACTCACAGAGATCCATCCACCTCTGCCTCCCAAGTGCCTGGGAATAAAGGGGTTTTATTTTTTTGGTTGGTTGGTTGGTTGGTTGGTGTGTGTCTGCATGTGATGCACATGTGCAATGGGGCGTATGTAGCAGTCAGAAGACAATTTTGTGGAATTGGTTCTCTCCTTCCAACTTTACATGGGTTCCAGGAGTTGAACTCAGGTAGTCAGCTTGCACAGCAAGCATCTTTACCTACTGAGCCATCTTGACGGCCCTGTTTTTTGTTTTTTTGAGATAGGGTCTGGTCTCAAACAAAATATTATAACCAAGGCTGATCTTGACCCTTCTGCCCCATCCCTCAAGAGCTGGGGTGACAGGCATGTGACCCCCATACCTGGGTGACAAGGCAGCTTTTCTTTTGCTCTGGCCAGGGATGGAACCCAGGTCCTTGCTCACACTATGCAAGTGCTCTACCACCAGCCTCACCACCAACCCAAGCCCTCTCACTGTTATCGTCAGGTGCTATTCTTGTCTGCACAGCACCCAGGGGCCACAGGAGCCCTGTCAGCCGCAACGCACCATAGTGACACCCAGGAAGGTTGGGCTGACCAGTAGCACAGGGGCCAAGTACGGCTCCTGACTTCTTTCCCAGAAAGAATAGAAGAGGTCTGCCCAGCAGACGATCCACAGCAAGAGTCCCAAGGCCTGGAAGAGAAAGGAACATGGTGTGTTAGAGTGACAGCGGCTCCCAGAGCACCCCAACAAAGCTCACCTTGCAGGGACTAGCCAGGCCCAGAGGACTGGCCACAGTCCTCAGAAAAATTTCTCATTCTCTGTAACAGTGTCTCACTATAGCCCAGGCTGCCCTTGAACTCCTGATCCTCATGCTTCAGCCTCCCGAGTCCTCCACCACACCAGGCTGTCTTATTTCTTCTCATTCCCCTGGTACCTTACATGGGATCATACATCTGGCCATACCTGCTAGAGAGTCCTCCAGGGACTTGACACAGTTCCATCCCTATAGCCACCATTACATGACAGAATAGTCCTCTTTGAGGAAAGAAACACTGAATAATTAATGGACAAGCTGGATGTGGTAACTTGAAATCCCATCCTCTGGAGGGGACAGAGGTAGGGGGATCTCTGGTTCAGGGCCAGCCTAGGTTACAGAGTAGAACCCTGTCTCAAAAATCAAATCAAGTTGGGCACAGTGTCACATGCCTTTAATCCCAGCACGTGGGAGATAGAGACAGGAGGATCTCTGTGAGATCAAGGCCAATCTGGTCTACAGATCAAGTTTTAATGGGAATACAGGGAGCTGACCCCGTCTCAAAATACACACACGCACACACACGCACGCACGCACGTGCACATGCACACACACACAAATGCACACGCGCACGCACATGCACACACACAAACACACACGCACACACACACACAAACACATGCACACGCACACACAATCAAATCAAAACAAAAAGAATTAAGGCGCAGAGGGCGTGGTGGGTAGTGCACACACACAGACAGTGAAGGCGAAGGAGGAAAAAGTGACCAAAGTGAAAACCTGGCCAACGGGAGCCACAGGCGGACCGTCAGGGCAGGTGTTGCTATTTATTCCTGTAAACGTCCTGTAGTCTGAAATTCTTTCAAAATGTAATTTCTTTTGCATGTGTATGTCACTTGTGCATGCATGTGCGATGTGTATGGATGCACGTGCACAGTGTGTATACCAGAGGCTGATGTCAGGTGTCTTCCTCAATCTCGCTCCACTTTATTTACTGAGGCAAGGCCTCTCACTGGAACATGGAGCGCCCTGATTCGGCTAGTTTGCTTAGTCAGCTTGTTGCAAGGATCCTCTGTCTCCACCTTCCAAGTGCTGGGATAACAGACAAGCTCCCTGACCCACCCAGTTCCTGTGTGGGTGCTAGGGATCTGAACTCTGGTCCTCACATTTGTGTGGTAAGTATTTAATCCACTGAGCCATCTCCCCAGTCCCTAAAATGATTTTTGGGTTTTTTTTTTTGACACAAGGTCTCCCTGTAGCCCCAGCTGGCATGGAGCTCACTGTGTAGACCAGGCTGGTCTAGAACTCACAGAGATTCACCTGCCCCTGCCCCCAGTGCTGAGATTAAAGGCATGCACCACCATGCCTGACTTCCCCCAAAACATTTTTAAAGTAAATAAAAAAATAAAAGGAAATTGCTTCAGTAAAGAAACATCTTTTTATAATTTCCTAAGACTCATCCCTGATGCACAAAAGGAAACCGAGACCACGGAGGTTAAAAGTGTTACTCAGAAGTCACGGGCCTGAGATTTTAACCCATGTCATCCTGGAGGGCTCCAGCTGTGATCTACCACATTCGTCTACCTTTCTCACACAAGGCTAGCCTGGGCTACACAGTGAGACCCTGTGTCCCAATTACATAAAACAAAGATTAGCTGCCCCTACCTGATTGCCCCAGCCCATGGCGACACAGGTCACTTACAGTTTTGGCTTTGTTGAGGTGTGTCATCTGGATGTAGCCCCGGTCATGTCGGGAGAGATAGAGGAAGTAGAGGGGGAAACAGGCCCAGAGGTAGACACAAGGCAGCCATGCGAGGGCTGTGTTCTGAAAGCACTTGGTGAAGTCGGGGTTGCTGGTGTTCCATGTGACATTCCAGTCCTGGGGACACGAGTATATGCACAGGTCAGTGGTTATGCTATGGGACACAGGCTGGAGTTCAAACCCAGCTGCTGCAGGCTCACAGAAACCAACTTGATTCCTACATCCGGGGACCTCTAAGCCTGAGTGTACAAACTTCAAAGACCACAAGTGACAGGAACAAAGGACTGGCAAGGTCCTGGAACCATAGCATCTCACTGCTACATGGAAAATGGAGGTTACCACTTAAATGGGCCTTAAAGGATGATGGTCCCTTGACCGCTAAAGCACCTGGGAGTCATGAGCATGTTGCCACCTTATGAACTGAAGATTGTCAGACCTTATCACCATCACCACCATCAGCTCAGGCAATACCCAAATGGCAGCTCCTGTGCCAGGCCCTAACCTAGTGCCCTACAAAGTGAAACTGTGGGGGCTGGAGATGGCTCAGGGGGACAGACCTCTGTGTGTTCTCTACGTACCAAGTTCCAAGGCAACCAGGGCCATATAGTAAAACCCTGCCTAATAAAAATAAACAAATAAATATAAAGTGCTATGTTCTCCTTTAGCTCTCTAAGGTCAATCTTTTACCACTTCCTTTTTCAGTTGTGAAAATGGAGGCACATAAGAATTCAGTGATGAGCCCTGTATCACACAGCTAGTTAGCTCAGGGACTGGATTCAAATTCAGACAAGATCATACAAGTTCCTATATTTTATTATGCAACCGTCCAGGCTTAGACAGTTAGCACTAATGTGCTTCAATTCTTTAAAAAAAATCATGACCAGATGTGGTTACACACCTTTGCGTAATGCCAGCACTCAGGAGGCTGAGGCAGGAGGATCAATAGTTTGAGTCTAGCCTAGCTATCTACTGAGACCCTGTCTCAAAAAAAAAAAAATTATTTTAAGCGGAAAATAACAACAAAACCAAAGCTTTCACTCTGTTACAGAGACACACTAAACGGATAGACAGATGCACCTAGGTTAAAAATTATTTTAAGCGGAAAATAACAACAAAACCAAAGCCTTCACTCTGTTACAGAGACACACTAAACGGATAGACAGATGCAGCTAGGTTAGGTGTGCCCGCCCAAGCAAGCATCGGCTAGCTTCAGAGTTTGTCATTCTGGATCTGACCCTGGACTAGATGCTAACTATAGGGAAGTCACTACCCCATTATTGGGCTCCACTCCTGTGTTCACTGTGATTAGGCCAATACCATGAGAGGTGAGAAATGGCCCTCCAAAGGCCAGCTTAGTCCACGGAAGAGCTGCTGTGGCCACCTCGTTGTTTTAGGCATGCTTTTAAATTTTAGATGAGGGCTGGAGAAATAGACCAGCGGTTAAGAGGACCCAGGTTTGGTTCTGGTGTGCCAGCACCCACATGGTAACTAACAACTGTCTGTGAGTTCCAGGGGCTTCAATACCTTCTTCTGGCCTCTGTGGGCATTGCACACGAGTACGCTTACATATATATGTACGCAAAACACTCATACATATAAAATAAAAATCAAAGACCACAAAGTGCTGGGTTCTGGCCTCCCTCTGGCATAGGAGCTTAGAACGCAGGGGACTGCCTGAGAGCACCTGGATCCTGCCTCCATGTGGTGCTGATCTGAAGCCATCTGTTCCCTCCAAAATAAAACCTGAGAGAACCTGAAACCTGTACCAACCAGCTTTACATAACCAATAAGGAAAGGACCTAGGCACCCCAATAATACAAACAGAAGCATGTGTCAACTTAATTCTCATATCAGAATCATAAATGAAAGAAATTCACAAACCAAAATCACAATGAAAGAATAATAAAATGGAAATCAGGGCTACATAGTGAGACCCTGTCTCAAAGAAAAAAAATAATAATAAGGGCAGATCTGGCTTTGGTAGGCTAAGACTGAGATCCTAGCAGACATCTTGAGAGGGTGGGTTTCGACTCCCATCAGTGTAGCAGATGTGATCTCAGCATACCGCCAGAGAGTGCAAGGTTCTGGCCTCCCTCCGGCATAAGGGCTGAGAACACAGCAGACCAATGGAGAGTCCCCAAACTGCCCCCTGCCTGGTTAGGGAATTTCCCAAATTTTCTCTGAGTTCCTGCTAATAGGGGTCCAAACCTTAGAAGGAAGCCTGAGTGAGCCTGATTGGGATTTGACTTGGGCTTCTGTGGGTGCTCCTGAATAACTGGTCTGAACCCATCAGTTCCCTCCAAAATAAAACCCAAGAGAACCTGAAACCTGTACCAACCAGCTTTACATAACCAATAAGGAAAGGACCTAGGCACCCCAATAATACAAACAGAAGCATGTGTCAACTTAATTCTCATATCAGAATCATAAATGAAAGAAATTCACAAACCAAAATCACAATGAAAGAATAATAAAATGGAAAGCCAAAGCACTATGTCCCCACCAACCTCCACCAGTCCTGTAGAAGAGTTCTACAAGGAGAACCCCCTAGAGATAACCCAGGACACTGAATTTAAAAGAACAACCATAAACATGATCAAGGAAGTCAATAAATTTAAAGAACACACAAACAAACAAACCAAAGAGCTAAAAGAAGACAGGCATAAACTTCTGAATGAATTCACAAAAGATTTAGAAACACTGAAGAAAACGCAGGCAGAAATGAAGAAGGAAGTGCAAAACTCAATAAGCCAACTTCAAACAACAGGGGAAAGCTTCATCGCTAGAATGAATGGAATGGAAAACAGAATATCAACACTGGAGGATAAAGTTGAAGAATTGGATCACTCAAGCAAAGAGTATGGAAAATTTTAAAAAACAAAGGAATGGACTATGCAAGAGATGTGGGACACCACAAAAAGACAAAAACCACAACGTCATCTCAATAGATGCAGAAAAGGCTTTTATGCATGCATTTATGTTCAAAGTCTTAGAGGGAACTGGACTGGTGGGAACATACATCAACATAGTTAAAGCCATATATAATAAACCCACAGCCAATATCATTCTAAATGGAGAAAACCTGGAAGCATTCCCATTAAAATCAGGAACCAGACAAGGATGTCCAGTACCTCCACTCCTTTTCAACACAGTGCTTGAAACTCTTGCTAGGCAATAAGACAGGAGAAGGAAATTAAAGGACTACTAATTGGAAAAGAAGAGGTCAAACTATCACTTTTTGCAGATGACATGATACTATACTTAAGAGACCCCAAAAATTCCACCAGAAAACTCCTATAACTGATCAACACTTTCAGTATAGTGGCAGGTTATAAAATCAATCTACAAAAATCAGTAGCCTTTCTATATACCAATAACAAGCAATTGGAGAAAGAATATAGGGAAATGCTCCCATTCACAACTGCTGCAAAAAAAAAAAAAAAATCTTAGAATAAATCTGACCAAAGACACCAAAGAGAGAGATTGAGGAAGACACCAGGACCTCCCATGCTCACTGATTGGAAGAATTAATATTGTGAAAATGACCATCCTACCAAAAGCAAAATACAGATTCAATGCAATCCCAATCAAAATCCCCATGACATACTTCACAGAATTAGAAAAAAAAAAAATCCTTAAATTCATATGGAAGCACAAAAGGCCCCAGATAGCCAAAGCAACCCTGAGCACAAAGAGCAGCACTGGGGGGATTACGATACCAGATCTCAAAGTATACTACAGAGCTCTAGTCATAAAAACAGTGTGGTACTGGCACAAAAACAGACACATAGATCAATGGAACATCACTGAAGACCCAAACCTGAGTACATGCAATTTCAGCCACCTGATATTTGACAAAGGTGCCAAGAACACACAATGGAGGAAAGACAGCATCTTCAACAAATGTTGCTGGCAAAACTGGATCTTCACCTGTAGGAGAATGAAACTAGATCCTTATCTTTCACCTTGCACAAAAGTCTCCTCCAAATGGATCAAAGTGAAACTGGAACCCTGAAACTATTAGAAGAAAATGTTGGCAGCATATACAGGATATAAGTGTAGGAAAGGATTTTCTAAATCAGACAGAAGTTGCTCAGGAATTAAGGTCAGCAATCAATAAATGGAACCTCAGTAAACTAAAAAGCTTCTGTACAGCAAAAGAAATAAAAAAAGTGAAGAGAAAACCCACAGAATGGGAAAAAAACTTTCACCAGTGACACATCTGACAGAGGTTTAACATCCAGAATATATAAAGAACTCAAAAAACAAGAAGCCAGAAACCAAATGACCCAATTAAAGATGGGCTAAAGAGCGAAACAGAGAGTTCTCAGAGGAAGAAATAAAGATGTCTAAGAAACATCTCAAAAAGTTTTCAACATCATTAGTAATTAGGGAAATGCAAATTAAAATCACCCTAAGGTATCACCTCAACCCAATCAGACTGGCTAGGATCAAGAGAACAAATGATACCAAATGCTGGTGAGGATGTGGAGAAAGGGGAACGCTCATTCACTGATGGTGGGATTGCAAACTCGTGACACCTCTATGGAAAACAGTGTGGAGAACTCTTAAACTAAAAATGAACCTACCATATGGCCCAGTTATACCACTCCTTGGCATATACCCAAAGGACTCATCCTACTGTAGAGCCACTTGTACAACCATGTTTGTTGCTGCTCTTTTCACAATAGCTAAGAGATGGAAGCAACCTAAGCATCCCTCAACTGACAGCTGGTTAACAAAAATGTGCTATATTTACACAATGGAGTTCTATTCAGCAGTAAAGAAAGATGAAATCATGAAATTTGCAGGTAAATGGATGGATCTAGAAACTGTTATACTAAGTGAAGTAACACAGACTCAGAAAAACAAACGACGTATGTTCTCCCTCGTATGTGGCTCCTAGCACCAAATACTTTTAAATTCCAGGTCCTTTTAATAAGATGATGCTATACAGCAGCCCCTTCTACATAAAATAACTACCATCATCGACTTCAGCTGTGCCTGATTGCTGAACATCGTCACAGTTGGGCTTGTTGACAGTTGTGCTCATTCATTAAAGGAGTGGTAAACAGGGTCATTGGACCCTCATCAGAGTATCCAGCCACTCTTCCCAG